GGTGTATGTCTGTGTTGTTTGATAAAAATAAATCCCTTTGCCAACTGAAGTCAGTTTATACCGCAGACTAAGATTATTAAGCCCCTGTTGACTTCTCTTTTCTTGTACCTATCTTTAGAGAGTCAGGTTCAATCACTAGTAGGGTAGGAAGGGTGGGGTTGGTTGCAGGTAGGATTGCCACTTGGCTGGTTTACAACCGGCCCTGTTGGTTTTCAGGTTTATTACACCCAGTCCCCCAATTAGAGGAGAGCTCTGTGTATGGGTGGATTTACTAGAGTTGGAATTGAGGCTGCTTGAACTGGTTTTGGCTTTGCAGGAATGGCCCGGAGCAGTCTTTTTCTTAATATTTGTACTCCTTAAAGATTTTCTTTCCTCTCCCGTATTCCTGCTTTCTGAAGCAACTCCCTTTCTTCCTTTCTCTAGTCAACAAGTATTTATTGAGCACCTGGGGCTACAATGATGAACAAGAATAAGGGTCAAAGTCTCTGCCTTCATATAGCTTGGAATCTAGTGGGAGACTTTTATGTTAATCAAAAGATTACCAGCAACATATGATTCCACACTAATACAAGAACTCAGCAAATAGGACATATTGGTCAGAAATCTTTTACTACAAGTGTTGGGCCTTTACTGTTGGTAGATTGAGTGTCAGGTAGGCTTACAGATCAGAAACTATATGTAAAGCAAAGGGCCTGATATGTAAAGGGCTCTAAAGAGGAGTTTGTTTAGGGGAAAAATTCTCCTCTGAAGTAACATGAAAGAGTTAGGAAATATGAAAATGAAGTAGAATATGAATGCGCCTTGAAGTTTAATAAAAGAACTGCATACCACCCCCACCACACACATGCGCACACACGCGCACACACACACACACACACATACGCGCGCGCGCGCGCACTCACCCCAAGAGCCGTCTAACTACTTTAAGATATGATGAATGCCTACTATATCCTAAACCTAAGGCTGAACCGTGGAAACACCAAGGTTTGACTCTTTGGGGTACATTCAGATTAATAAAGATAAAACTGTAAAATAAAAATACTAGGAGATATGTATTGTCATGGTATATTTTAGGGATCCAGGAAGCGTGGAAGAAATTGACTGTCTGATTTGAGATCTGGCAGAATGTAGTCATAGAATATTCAAATTGAATCCAGAAAGATAAGTAAGTGATAGTAGAAGCTGTAAGGAAATAGTGGGAAGAGTTATTCTAGGCATTTGGTATTTGGCACTATCAAGTGGGTCAGTATGGCTCAAGTGATGGGTGCTTTTAGGAGTGGTGGTAAATTAAATTGGATCAACAGGGGCTGTATATAAAGGTCCTTGGGGTATGGGCCTTTAGATCGTAGGTGCCTGGGAGCCATTGTTTGGGCACCATGAGATCTTGCCACAGTTATTGGGGGTTTATCTTGCAGGCCTTTGCCCAGTGTCCTTACACAGAACTGAGTTACTCTTAGGCAGAAGCCTCTTGCTGAGACTGTCACATGACTCTTTTTTCCCCCCTCTAGGTCAGGCAGATGGGTAGATAGGCAAAAATAAAACAACTTGAAAAGTCAAAACTAAGGCCAGAGTTTATCTGGAAATTACTGGGCTTCAAGTGGTCTTCCCTTTTAGAGGCACCAAAGGAGAAAGGCTCTCTATCCATGTGCTCTGCCCTAAAGTCTTGCTTTTTACTACTTTGATCTTTTTTTACTTCATTTACACATGTTACTTAACAGCAGTTTGAGATGTCGCTATATTCAGACCAACAGTATTTACTTTCATTAATCTACGGGCTGATCTGGATCTTAATTGTGAAGATGAACAGGCAGGGGTGCCATATGGAATGAGTAAGTCCCAACTTGTTCAGACCTCTCAGGAGATACAGTAGTTGGCTGCATTTATGTTTGTATACTATAGATCTGGTTCTTTTCTTTTTCTTTCCATTCAAAAGGGACTGACTTATTTATACTATAATCTGTTATTGATGCGATACTTTAAAAACTCATGCACAGAATCTCAAATGGGGAATTTATGGAGTTTTGGAGGAGGGCTTACTCTTTCCAGGTTCTTCCATTTGTGAGTGGGAAACTGACCTATTTAAGTACCCTACCCATGTTTACATTTCCTTGATTGTCTCAAAAATGTCTTTTTTCAGATGATCTGCTCAAATCAGGTTCAGATAAGGTACATACATTCCCTTTGGTTGTTATATGTAAAGCTATCCACTTTTCTTCCCTAGCCAATCTTGCTACTCTTTCACATACAGATTTAATTCCTGACTTTATAGCATAGGCATTAAAAAGTCTTTTAATCTTTCCCAGTGCTGCCCATTCCTTCAAGTCCTGAAATATCTTTCCTGTCTACTTGTGTAACTCCAAGGATCCGCTCAAATGTGTTGCCCTCTCTGTGGCATCCCACTCCAGTCTAATGAATTGTTCCTTCCTCTGTTTCCCTGATACTTAGTACTCACCTCTGTTACAGTGCTCATAATATCATATTGTCATTTATCTGTTTAGTATGTTTGTACTACAAGCGGGTTAGTATAGAATGGTGGAACATGAGGCTGGGGAGGTAGCAGATAGTGAGTACCTCTAGGACAGGGTCACATGATAGTCATTTCTGCCACCTCAGCCAGCATATGCCTAGCCCATAGGAGACACTCAGTGAATGTTTATAGAATTGGATAAAAACCCTTAGTTTGTGGAATATTTTTAGTTTAAAACTCTGCATTAGTAATGAACCCTCCTTTCCAATTCCAGGAATAGAAGGCAAACCTGGAAATCATATCTAAGCATGTTATTTGTTGCTCCTGTTCTTTTTCTTCACTTAGGAGGTTTGCTTGTTGGTCACATAGTATGGATTTCACTTAGCTGCGTTTCATTATTCCTGTTTAGTCGAATTAAACTCTCTTTCTCTTGCCATAGGGACTGTCATAGGACCTGACAGATAAGAACTAGAGATCTTTGACTCTTATTTTTTGTGGTTAAAAAAGGAATTTAAAACATTTTCTGCATATTTCTAGTTTTCTGAAATGGATAGAGGTTCTCCAGTATCCCCATCAGAGTGGTCACATAGCTTTCACTTTGCATCAGACTTTTTATTGAAACTTCTTAAAAACAAAAAAAGGTTGAAATGAGACCAGTTATTGTGTGGCTATTAGAATTGCTACCTTTCGTTTTATACTGAAGGACTAAGCGTACTACATCTTGAATACCCCCGTTAGCTTCAAAATCTGCAGTCTTCTTTGAAAGCTACCATTTGAATAAATGAACAGATGGGAAGTGATGTTGAATAGCAACATCTAAAATGAGGCGCTTTTTTTTTTTTTTTTTTCCTGTTTAAGATAATGGAAGAAATGAAGGACTAGGATATTCGGTTTTCTTCTCAGTTGGTCTGATGACTCCTGCCTCTTCCTTTCTTTGGGACTCAGTTTCTTTCCCCATCTTTAAAGTAAAAATTGAACCAGTCTCTCACAAGATTAACTAAGGTTCTGCCATTCATAATTTGGACTCAAATTTTGAATTCTAAAATGTGCAGTATGCAAATGCTGCAGATGTTGGTTGGATGTAGAATTTTGTTCATCTACTCTATTCTACATTACAAAGCTAATACTAGCAAGTAGAAAATGTTGTTGATTTCTCATTTTCTTTTCTCCTCTTCCTACTCATAAATTTCAGGAATGCTTTTAATCTTTTTAAATGGTTTTTTTCATCTGCAGTTGTTTTTATCAATCTTTCTGGGAGCCCCAGTTAAGATTTAGAGTTTGTCTTTTGCTTTCACGTGGTCAGTGAAGTG